ATGAATAATAAACATTTATCATGATATGAGGAAATAAATAATAACTTTATTATTACCTCTAGGGCATATTTCCTTCAGTATTCCACCTTGGAGTAGCAACCCTAATTTGTAAGATAAAAGTTGGTAATGGTGTATCTACAATCTAAGCACACACACCTTTTCATAGTTGATCTTCAACCCCTTCACATGGTCTTATGACTTTTCGAAGACCTATATTTTTGATAAACAACCATCCGACGCAAGACAACCAATACAAAAGGGGAGAAAAATGGTCGGGCTTAAAGGATGCCCTCAACATAGAGGAACATGTGCTAGGGGTTGTGTGACTCACTTGCTTGACCCCACGCCTTCCTAGACGCCCCATCTCCATGATACATCTCCAATGTATCTATAATCTTTTTTGTTCCATGCTATTATATTATCTGTTTTGGATAAATGCTATTTTATATTATTTTTGGGACTAACCTATTAACCTAGAGCCCAGTGCCAGTTCCTGTTTTTTTCTTCTATTTTTGAGTTCCGCATAAAAGGAATATACCAAATGGAGTCCAAACGTAATAAAACCTTCGCGATGATTTTTCTTGGACCAGAAGACAACCAGGAGACTTGGAGATGAAGTCGGAGGAGCCACGAGGCGGCCACAAAGACGGAGGGCGTGCCCCCCACCCTTTGTGGGCCCCTTGTGCACCTCCTGACCTAATTCTTTCGCCTATATATTCCCATATATACCCAAACCACCAGAGGCATCCACGAAAATACTTTTCCACCACCGCAACCTTCTGTACCCGTGAGATCCCATCTAGGGACCTTTTCCTGCACCCTGCCGGAGGGGGATTCGATCACGAAGGGCTTCTACATCAACTATATTGCCCTTCCGATGAAGCGTGAGTAGTTTACCACAGACCTCCATAGCGAGTAGCTAGATGGCTTCTTCTCGCTCTTTGATTCTCGATACCATGTTCTCCTGGATGTTCTTGGAGATCTATTCGATGTAATACTTTTTTGCGATGTGTTTGCCGAGATCCGATGAATTATGGATTTATGATCAACTTATATATGAATATTATTTGAATCTTCTCTGAATTCTTATATGCATGATTTGATATCTTTGTAATTCTCTTCGAACTGTCGGTTTGGTTTGGCCAGCTAGATTGGTTTTTCTTGCAATGGGAGAAGTGCTTAGCTTTGGGTTCAATTTTGCGGTGTCCTTTCCCAATGACAGTAGGGGTAGCAAGGCACATATTGTATTGTTGCCATCGATGATAAAAAAATAGGGTTTTCATCATATTGCTTGAGTTATTTCCTCTACATCATGTCATCTTACTTAATGCGTTACTTCGTTCTTTATGAATGTAATACTCTAGATGCATGCTGGATAGCGGTCGATGTGTGGAGTAATAGTAGTAGATGTAGAATCGTTTTGGTCTACTTGACACGGACGTGATGCCTATATTCATGATCATTGCTTTAGATATCGTCATAACTTTGCGCTTTTCTATCAACTGATCGTCAGTAATTTGTTCACCCATCGTATTATTTGCTATCTTGAGAGAAGCCTCTAGTGAAACCTATGCCCCCCGGTTTATTTTCCATCATATAACTTTCCGATCTACAATATTAATTTTCGATCTATTCTTTTTGCAATCTTTTACTTTCCGATCTATAAACCAAAAATACCAAAAAATATTTACCTTATCGTTTATCTATCTCTATCAGATCTCACTTTTGCAAGTAACCGTGAAGGGATTGACAGCCCCTTTATCGCACTGGGTGCAAGTTGTTTGATTATTTGTGCAGGTATTCAATGATTTGTGCGTTGTCTCCCACTGGATTGATACCTTGGTTTTCAAACTGAGGGAAATACTTATCTCTACTTTGCTGCATCATTCTTTCCTCTTTAAGGGAAAGACCAACGCAAACTGAAGAAATAGCACTCCACCGGTGCCATCGACAACACGAGATGCACCATAGCAGACGAGGTTCAGGTGTCCTCCCATTCTACTTCCACTCCCCCTTTTCATGTCCTTGTTGAGAGTCCAATTGGCAGGAGCCCTTGCTTTTTTAGGGAAGGTAGGAGACTTTGCAATATTGAATAATGTGGGGGACTATGGGAAGATGGAGAGGGGCCGAGCACATTCGGTTGACTAGCAGGGTTCCAGGGATGTCCAGCTTGCTCACTGTGTGCGTGCGACGGGCAGGTTCAGGCAAGATTTTTTAACCGCACACATTATATTAACCATTAAACAAAATACAACCACACATACATGTGAAAACTACCAGAAAAGACTAGGACATGGTGGGTGTCCAGAAACTATGCAGAAAGAAATCCAAAAAATATATTACAAATAAGTCCCTTGGTGTCCCTATGATCAACCAGATCTTAAAACCACCATCGATCGCCGAGACGCACACTGGGGGAAGAGACAGAATACCAGCAAATTGAAATCCCGTGCCATAGCCTTGAAGGCGTTGAGAGCTGAAGACCGAACCTGCAAAATAGACACTTGGCGATGTGGTGCCACGATTGAGGACGGTTTCGCCGCCAACCTGGATCCAGTTTTAACACTGATCCAGATTTGACGCATCCTACCGTTGTTGTTAGGGAAAGACGCCAGATCCACTACCGTCGGACCACCAACCTTAAATCAACACCAATATATCCCACTTGCCAGTGCTGACACAAGAAAACATAAAAAGCCCACCGCTCCAAACGAACAGCAAGCAGACGGGGCCATCAGCTCAGCGGTGCCTTCAGAGAGAATGTCATCATGGTGAGGAGAGATAAAAAACCACCTTATTCGATGGAGCACCAACCACACCAAAGCGACGTGGTATCAAACAAAGACGAGACACTAAAATGGATCAATTGAAAGAGAAATGGGAGCTCACCCCCTCCACCAACCACCGGAACAACAGACAGAGAGGGTGGAGATCATCGCCTCGCTGCCGTCCAAAGGAAGGTAGGAACCACCGTTTCTCTCTCTCTCATCGCCAGGGCAGAGAGCAAAGCCTTCGTGTGTGATTTCCCGGCAATGGTACACGTACGGTAACTTATAGGGTTTTACAGGGAGGGATTAACTTGTGTGTTTGTGATTGGTCAATAGTTGATGGAGCCAGCCCACCCCCTGAAAATCAGGGGAGGGGCAAGTTCATGATTGGTTAGTGGATGAAAACAGTCTGTAAAACCCCGTATTTCTTTGTAAGTCTAGCATTTTTGGTGATTTCCTCTCCTCTTCCTTTTTTTTTGCTTTTTCTAAGACACTTTGTTTTTTGCTGACAAAGGCGGAATGGCCTATCCCGGGCCGGCCCGCTCAGCCGGCCAGCCCGGTCAACTCGGACCGAAAGAGAAGTTGGACTTGAACACATACACCCTTCCGTCAAAAAAAAGAAGAAAAAACTGGTTGTTCCCCCGACGCGAGTAACCTCGACGAGCACAGAACGCCGCCCGCCGCCCGCCGCCCGCCGCCGTCGTTCGCTGGGTTTCCTCGGTGAGCTCCTTTCCTCTCCCTCGGCCGACCCGTTCGCTATGTTTAGAGGGCCGTAATTGGGGACGTGCTCCGCTGTTTGTGGGATTTCGTTGAGCACGAAGCTGGCGTCCGCGTCACCAACTCCTGACCTAGAGCTCGCACCTCTCAGCCTCGCACCGTCGCACGCTCGTGCGGCCCCAGCCAGCGAAGCAGCCAGAGCTCCCCGCCCCCGCACAAAGCTAGGGTTACTGCAGCCGCCGCCCCTCCGGCAGGCCCTCCGCCGGCGCGCCCTCCGCGGTGTTCCCCGCCCGTCCCGCCGTCCAGTACCTCCGCCCCTCCCGTCCCCTGCCTCCGGCCCTCCAG